CTGTCGTCTGGTGATCTAACCGCCTTCTGGAAAAGCTTCACAAGTACGTCGGTACGCAAATGCGCTTTGTGACACAAGTGACGGTACGCATTTCAGATTGTTGCCGCGCATGCGTACCAGTTATGTGCACCTACTACAGCAAAAGTATTCTCCGTCGGGACTTCCTGCAACAACACCACGCCGTTATCTTGATTCTGATTGGCCAGCAGACATTATCAAAGATGTTCTATTGAGAAGACGATCACTACGTGACAAAAGTTTTCAAAACCGTTTCTGGTCTTCGGTATTTCCAGACAAGTGGCTACTGAAATCTTACTAACTGCTGTCTGTGAAATTCTCGGCGCGAGTTGGCGGACTTTATTTTGCTTACTTCAACATAATTTTTCATGGTGGGGCTAAGCCATTTCTTGGTATGGGTATAGCCTACCCCAGCCATATCCACGGCGCTGCCACTGGTGGGATGTATGGGGCGGTCCATTCTGCACATGCGTTAAATGCGTTAAATATTTGAACGCAATTAATTCAAAAAATTAATTAACGCCGTTAACACGATAATTTTGACAGCATTAATTTTAATACTGTATTTTAAATTCTATGATCTCAATATTTAGTCTTTTATATAATAAATATTTTTTAAATAATCGTTTTCTTTAAAAATATTAAAGGGATTCTGCAAAGTCCCACTAGAGGGAGCTGACATATTGTAGCCAACAGTTTGAGAAGCAGCAGTGTATTAGAATATGTGAGTGGCAGCTGGGCCTTAGTGGGTAGACACTCAGGCTTGTTACCAGGACAACATGTAGATGTATTTAACGAAGCGCCTATATTTATTAATGTAATGCTTACGGTCCTAATTGTCCTCATCTAGGATGGTGCTTAATCTGTGTGCTATGTAGCTGCTAGGATGGATGCAGAGTAAAGCAGCACAAGGTCCTGGAACCACTCCCTGTTCCAGATGAATAAGATCTCTCTCTTTCTTTCTTTCTTTCTTTCTTTCTTTCTTTCTTTCTTTCTTTCTTTCTTTCTTTCTTTCTTTCTTTCTTTCTTTCTTTCTTCAGGAAAGCACAAGATGTCTGAAGTTGAAAACACAGCAGAGGAGTGTGTGAAAAAGAAAAAAAAGATGGACACTGCCATTAGCACAGGCTACTCCCTCCCTCCCTTTGACCCCACAAGCCCAGTTGGTAAGACCCATGTCTGTATTTATTTACCATGCCTGCCATTATATTTCTACAAAAGTGTTCATCAGCTTTTTGCCTGTGTGTGTTCCCACAGGTATGGAGTTCTTGACCCCAAAGACGGGTTTCTTCTGTAAGGTGTGTAACAGGTTCTTCAACGGAACCAAAGAGGCAGAGATAAACCACTGCAAGACCCTCAAACACTACGAGAGCCTGCAGGTAGGCAACATGCACACACACATACCTGTAGTGGTTTCGTGGTGAGGACCCTCAGGACATATTGCATCCATAGTAATCACAACTAATCCCAACCCTTAGCCTTTCTCTAAACTCAGTCTAATAGAGTGCAGTGATGACGTATGTTTGAAGACCAGACCTGACAGTTAGCATCGCAGGGCTCCTTCAACAAAAAGCTATGAGAGTTCCCCTCTGGGTTCCGGTATATTGCAGAAAATATGCTCTGTGGTGTAAGAGTCGGGAGGAGCTGATAATTTATTCCGGCAAATTACTCAGACCTACTAATTAACCTAACAGAAGTTATTGAGTCTATGTAAGTTTACTGCTTGGCTCAGATCCACCAACGTCAGCGAGATCGCACCTCTATTAACTCCTGAAGAACCAGGTTCAATTAACTGCTGTTTCAATTCAGACAACCCTATTAATCTGTTTAAGCGATCCCGAAGGATTTTGATATCAGTAAATGAGGTGTGGCCCTATACTAAGGGTGAGTGTGGCAGGGTGCAATCTTACCTTTGAAGCAGGAGAGTAGAGCGCAGATGTCTTTTAAGTTGTCCCAGTCCAAAAGGTGGGATCAGTTTATTTGAAGAAAAATAGGTCCTAACGTATACAGGGTTTTCATGCTGTGATCATGTTCTAATATGAAACTTTAAAATTCACAGTTTTACATTTATTACATTAAATTGTAACTTCAGCTGCCGAATTCAGTTGTGATTTTTAAATCTCCCGATCGAATTTAAAGGCATTACCTCAATGACCGGTGATAATAAAAAGCACATTCAAACTTTCATTCACCAAATTAATTAACATAAATTCCATACCTATGTTTTCCGACAGGTGTCGGGAATAACATTCAAAAACCCATACTTATCCGCATGAATTCGGAGGAAGATACCTCACAGGTGGCGGGCCTAATCTTCACAAACACATACCTATCTGACAGGTGGCGGGAATAACATTCAAAAACCCATACCTATCCGCCTGAATTCGGAGGAAGATTCCTCACAGGTGGCGGGCCTAATATTCACAAACACATCAAATATCAAATCAT